GTTCAATTTCTGGGCACAGAAATATGTTAGGTCGAGACAGGCAGTTATTCTGTAGGGCGAAGAAAGAGATGCAATGAGATCATGGGAAAGGCGTGTTTTGGATTTTCACTGAGGGAAAGGAGATGGACAGGGGTGGTTTTTGACTATTACCTGCACCAAGGACTTCTCAATGGTCATAAACATTTCCACATTGCGGTCCATGCGTGATGGATTCTGGAAATCATAACGCCGCCTGGAAAAGAGGCAATAATCTGAGTGATTTAGATCAGGCCCAAGACGAGTTAGGGTATGTGGCTTTTTAGCATGGGAAATCGGGATGCAATCTTGCTCAAAACTGTTGCCAAAATGGCCTGGGATCTGGGGTTCACTGATCTCAACTCCACGAATCACTTTGTACTTCATCCGAAAGGACAAAGAGAAGCTTGAGATGCCAACCAAAGAATCCCCTTCCCTCTATGATACACACACCAATGCACACACACATGCTTATTCACTCTTGGAGACTATTTTGATTCTGTCAGCCACCTTTCTGACCCAGCACATCAGGCCTACTGATCTAGCAAAGTAAGAGACTCACAGGAATATCTACTCATGCTCTCCCACCCCAAGAAAGACCCAGGAAATCATAAAGGGGGAGTCCCCCTAAACGTTAAGAACCATAGAGAAGAAGACTTCTCACCATCCCTGGTCACTCTTGAATTTGTAGGCAGCTGCAAGTATGTGGCATAGGGAGCCTCCTGCTTTGAAATCTAGGAAACATTTTATCTACAAAATTGAGACAAGAAAGAAGAATGTGAGAGTTAAATCCTGAATTCCCTTACTAAGAATCCTTTCACAAAATCCCATGCTGAACTAACCTTGCTCTCAAAGCTGGAATTCTTTTATTTTTTTTTTTTTTAAGATTTATCTATTTATTTGAGAGAGGGAGAGAGTGTGCAGAGGGAAGGGGCAGAGGGAAAGGGAGAGAAAATCTTAAACTGACTCCTCATTGAGCACAGAGCCTGATGCAGGGCTTGATCCCATGACCCTGAGATCACAAACTGAGCTGAAATCAAAAGTTGGAGGCCCAATCGACTGAGCCCTCAAAGCTGGAATTCTTTAACCTCTACGCCATGGTATCACATGGCCTGGAAAAAGGCACGGGGAGAAACCAGTATTCATAAAGCCCCACCTTTTGCCATGTTCTTACGGGGTTACCTCACTGACCAGTACAGAAACCCTATAAGGTAGAGATATTAATCCCATCCAGAGATGAAGGAACAGATACTCAAAAGGTTTAAACGGATTCCCCAAGATCACAGAGATACCAAGTGGCAGAGTCAGAATTTGAACACAAGCCTACATAAATCCAAATCTTGTACCCTTTTAACCATGCCATGAGAGTTTCATATATGAGCTTAGACACTCTCAGATAACCTGCTGAATGAAGTTTCGTGGGTTTTTTTTAAGATTTTAAGCAATCTCTCCACCTAACGTGGGGCTCGAATTCACAACCCCCAGATCAAGAGTCGCACGCTCCACCGACTCAGCCAGCCACGCACCCCTTGTTGCATGAAGTATTATGAAGACAAAGGGAGTGGTAAACTGGGGACTAGAGCAAGCCACTGACAGCCTCACTAGGGGCAGAGATAATAGGCAAGTACCAAATCTCAAAAAGCATGAAATTGACAAAAACCCCACAACCCCCTCTCCAGTTTGGAGATTCATTCCCTGGCATTTGCACTCACCGGCAGTTTCGTGAGCGGTGCGTTGCTGACATGTTTGCCAAAAACTTCTTCCTGAAACTGTAGCAACTGTACAACCAGGCTAGACAAGGACTTGTTGGTAGGTGGTTCAGCTTGGATATACTGGGGAAACAGAGGCAAAGGGAAGAAAAGCAAACCCCAGATAAACTGTCCACTATCTCCTTATTTCTTCCCCCAGGGTTCTGGAAGCATCTGGGATAGGAAAAAATAGTGTCTTCTTCTCCCATATGTCTAGTTTCTATAAAGAAAATGGCAGAAGGGAAGCCCTCTAAGCCCCTCACAGTAAGTTGAAATTCTGCTGCCCCCAACCCAGCCTGCCAGCACTCGGTGCTGGAGGCAAGTGGGGCATCCTACTTTTCAGCTACACTCTGAAATTGGAGTTGAAGGACCCTGATTTCTAGTCAACAGCACTGAGGGCTATAAAATCCTAAAGGTTCGTTAAGTTCAGGCAATGGAAGGAGTGTCTCTGAGACTCTAAACAAGACAACAGTGTATTTCTTGGGAGCAACTTCTTGGAAGGCCAAGACTCCCCCTAACTTACTAGAGGATTACAGGGGGTTATAGTCTTATCAGACTATAGACTATAGTCTTATTAGACTCACACAGCTTAATAAGAACGGTGCAAGGAAGTGAGGCAAGGCAAACTAAGAGAATGAGCTTGTGCGCTCTGTTTCTCCTAGGAACTGGGCACAAATGTCTTTGTAGGCTCTCCTAGAAGGCAAGAACCAAGCTACTACCAGCCTGGTGAGAAAGAGCAAGAAAACATCTCTCCTCTCTGAGGAAACTGTATCTGAGACAGGCAACCCTGGGCCTTCTTACGCATTTCCCTGTTATGCTACCTAGTATCCTAGCCTCCTGTTCTAATTTAAATCTGAGCCAGGAGGCTAACTTTCTCTTTACCTTTTGACCCCTGTTTCCTCAACCCTAATCACAGAGAAAAGTGCTCCTCTCAGTGGGAGATGTAAAGAGAGCCTTGAAGGAAAAGATAATCGACAAAGAGCTAAGAACTTGAAAGCTGAATTTGAAAGCTCACAGGCTGTCAATCCCCCCAGGGCTAGAGACTAAGCCCCTAGACTGATCTCCCTTCCAAAAGGTCAAAGGTGGAGGCCTGGGAACCAGATCCTCACGCTGGGGTACAGGCATACCACAGACCCAACAGCTGTTTGTCAGGATTCTGACACTCAGAGAGACCTCCGAGATAGGCCAGAACCAGGATCAGAGGGGTGTACTCCTAAACCACCCATCACATTTCTGACAGGCTGGAAAGCTGGGCAGGAAGAACTGGGGAGCTAAGGAAAGCCAGAAAGAGAACCTCTAACTGGGGGTAGTGAAAGGGAAGAGGCAAACCATCTCCACAGAAAAAACCCACGTATAGACATTCCTTTCAACCAGGCCTAAAGACAAAGACAACACCAGGAAGAGGTTTGACAGAAAAGTCAGGTAGGGCTTTTTGAACCCTTTGTTCACCACCTTATTATCTCCAATTAAAGGCTGGGGGGCTGGAGATTTAAAGCGTGTCTGAGCCTCTGAACCCCAAACCAAAGGCAATGCAAGGCCAGGTGGTCGGATGACTTCATTGTGAAGCTGAGGGATGGTTTAAGAGGTCGCTGCCCAGGAACTGCTATAACCTGGCTCCCAAGGGGTTTTGTTGCCCCTTGGGTGGAGGTGGGGGACGAGCAGTGGAGACAGGTGTGGGGGGCTTCTTCAGGCCAAGGGCCTGCTCTGTGGCTGTTTACCCTCCTGCTTTCATCATCTCTCCGAACATACACAAAGCACTAGGGAGGCCTCAGCCCTGCCGGTACCTGGCTCCGTGGGGAGCTCTGGCGGGCACCGTGGCGGGCACGCTGGGGCGGGCGAGGCGGGAGGGGGGGCATCAGGCACCCCGTCCACCCTCGGCCGCCTCTCCCGGAAAAGCCCGGAAGGCTCTGGCCCAGGGGAGGGTGGGCGGCTGGCACCGAGACCCGCCGGGCAGTGGAGAAAAACAAGGGGCAGAGGGCGCAGCAGGGAGGGCGGGGGCTGGAATCCCAGCCTGCGGGGGGCGGGGGGGCGGTAAAAGAGGCTGGGGGAGGGGCGCGGGGAGCCGGCGGGCGAGCTGGGGCTGCTCCCAAGGCCGCGGGGGAGGGGCCGCGGGCTGCCCGAGGGTGGGCAGGATTCGGGGGGGCTCCGGGGCCGCGGTCCCTTTGTCCCGCCCCCGGCCCCCGCGCGGCCCTGCCCGCGTACCTTCTTGTAGTTCTTGCCGAGCCAGAGCCTCACGTTGTCGAACTGGGTCACGGTGTCCGCGGCCTCGTAGTACTTCACGTTGGGGCCGCCGTCCTTCTTCCGCACCGCCATCTTCTCGGGCTCGGGCCCCGCCGCCGCCCGCCCCGCTCAGCTCAGCTCCCGCCTCCTCCGCCTCCTCCTCCGCCCGCCTCCCGCCGCCTCCCGCCGCCGCGGCCGCCGCCTCCCGCCGCCTGGGCCGGCCCCGGCCCGCGCAGCGCCCCCTGCCGACCGGCCGGGCACGGCGGCGGCCAAGCTCCCAACGCGGGACCCACCCTGGCGGTCTCCCCGGCGGCGGCGGCAGCGGCGGCGGGAGCCTTGGAGAGGCAGCTGCTTCCTGGAGGGGGCGCCCACTCTCCTGAGATCGTTCTCTACCCGAGGCGAAGTCTTTCCCCTCTCTTTGCCTCTCAGCCCAGGGAGTGGGGTACCTCTCTAGCCTACCCCAAGCCGACGTCCGTCTCTGGAGGAACCCGCAGCTCATAGTTCCGCGTGGTCCTTACCTTGCACGTTCCCAACCCCACGGAGCCCTTAATCTCAAGGAACCCCAGACCCCTTTCCCCAGGAAGTTTCTTTCTTTAATCCATCCCCAGGACTTCCCCGTTTCAACTCTTCCGGAGTCTCCCTCACTCTTAACACCTTGCCTCAGCAACCCCTCTCACTCCTTAACCGGAGGAGTCCTCTAGCTGCCACCCTGGGGCCGAGTCTCTTCCCTCCAACTGAGTCCTCTGCAGGCCGCCATCGCCTTCTAAATAGTTTTGCGCTCTTTGAGACCCCAATCTTGTCTGGGCGGGAGGACCCCCGCCCCCAACCTCCCTCCCTGGGTCACCCGCTCCACCCGCTTGTTCCTTTGAGTGGCGTAGAGGCGAGGTAAGGGACGGAGGGCGGGGGTCACAGGGTGTGTGTGTGTATGGGGTCGGGCCGGCTTCCCATTGCTACATTCCCTCCGTGGTCGCAATGCGGACCCCTTCTGTAAGCGCGCGGCGAGAGACGGTTTTGGAAGTCACGGTGGCCGAGTGGTTAAGGCGTTGGACTCGAAATCCAATGGGGATTCCCCGCACAGGTTCGAATCCTGTTCGTGACGGCAGCTTTTTTCCCCCTTCTTCTGGATACGTAAAGGGGACCCCCCGCGCACTTGTCTTTCGTGCACTTCCCTTTCTGTCCCAGAAATAGAAGCCGAGAGGTCTCACGCCTGAATTGGGAGGGAGGGAGGTGATCAAGGGAAGCTTAATCGTGCACAACTGTATTGGCTGCTAAGACACAAGACACTTTCTGAATCCTCTAACTTCAGGTTTGTTAGAGCTTGGGCACACGTTTCATTCTTGGGGACGGGAATGGCAAAGGATTTGGTTGAAGAAGGGTTAGGTTTTTGAAAATCTGAATTCCTGTTGTGATATAATAGTCAAAATTAGAGTTTCCAGGAAAAGAGGGCGCCTCTGGGTTTCATGACTGGAAGTGTGATTATAACTGAGACCCAGGAAAACGCTTTTCTCTTCGGATTTCTTTGAGGAGGCTCATCTCAGATGTCACTGGGCTAGGAGGAAGTAGCCTGTTGAAGGGTAAACACTACAGATCTAGTTGGAATGTAGGGAGATAATACTTTTTACTGATTGCCCATTAGGTGCCAAGTGCTGTTCTAAATTATCCGTGTATTAACCAAGCTAGGGAATTAATTCCTTTTTAAACCTCTAACCCTCCTGTATTCACCTTATCTGGTTCTTCCCATCCCCTAATTTTCTAATCACGGGGAATATGTAGGATACTTGTTGAGGACGTTCTTTTTGTATTTCATTTCTTGTACAGCATCATTTTTTCCAAGAAAGATCTGCCAAAGGGCAGGGAGTTCAAGAGTAATTCAGAGAGCTTTATACACCTTTCTACTTTGCAGTTTTCCACCTTCGTTCGTTTTTCTCATACTCTTCTTTCTGAGATCATCCTCACCACTGTCTCCTTCCATCCTGGCACCCTCATCATTTATAAATTCTCATCCTGCACATCCTTTTATCCTTTCTCTTTGAGACTCTTGATTCTCCAGCTGGAACCTGTTGTTCTACCACTGCCATTGACTCCTGTTGCATGCAACACATCTCCTTTGACACCTCTTTGCAAGAACTGATTAAAAGTTATATTTATTCTGCTTCCTAAATAGATCTTAACTCTTCACGTTTCTCAGGGTCAGTGCAGTCTAGGCCGACCACTTGCTAGAGTCATTGGGAAAGTAGATTGTGAGGACCACATGAGTTACTCTATGTGAAGCTGCACTAAAGCATCCCACTGCAGGGGCTCCTGGGTGACTCAGTCAGTTAAGCAGCTGCCTTTGGCTCAGGTCATGATCCCAGAGTCCTGAGATTGAGCCCCAGATCAGGCTTCCTGCTAGTGGAGAGCCTGCTTCTCCCTCACCCTCTGCCTGCTTGTGCTCTCTATCTCTCTGTCAAATAAATAAATACATTTTTTTTTAAATTGTTGTAGCTGGAGACTTTAAACCCTCCCTCAGCTGCTTTCTGTGTTTCATGAGCTGGTCCCTTTTCACTCACCATTCTTTCCTATTCACTACTTTCCAACCACTGGCACAGTACCTGGTCTAGTATTTGTCTATGTTCATGCTATTCTCTGCCTGAAATAATCTTTCCCATCCTCACCATCTACTCAGCTTCCACATCAATGTTGGTTCTCCTGGGAAGTCATCTCTAACCTCTTGTCACCCACCATACACTAATCATGTTTTGTGAAGTCTTTCTTCCCCGGCAGAACATCAACTCTTGGCACATATAAGCCACTCAATTAAAAAAATAAAATAACTTTGTTGAGTAAATGGATTTTTTTTGTTTTTACAGTAGGTATGTATATGTTTTAATCTTCACTCAGAATGGACTATAAGGTTCTTGAGAGTTAGGACTGTGTATTTTTTGTCTCTTTTTCCTTTACTAGGCCTTTATACACAGATGTGATCAAGTGTGACCTGAATGAACATACTCTAACAGGCTCAGTACTCAGCTTCCTATCAAGTGCCATTTTGCGCATGCTCTCAGTTACGTCTGGAGAGGCAAGACCAAAATTGACCAGCAGAGGGCAACCAACAACTGTGCTGCGAAGGGAAGAAGGCACCGTGGCCTACAAAATGGAGGACCTGGACGGACAAGTTAGCTGAGGTTGTTGGGTACTCGGAGATCCTGCCTTTCCCTCTCAAATACTTCCCTTGCAACTGTCATAGATCAGAGGCCAAGGCTTCAAACTTTAATGTACAATAGGTAATTTCAGATTTCTACCATCCCCACAGCTCACCTGAACTCCCCAATTCCTTCACCTTTGCTCTTGCATTCAACAATTCTCTATCCTGATACATTTCCTTTGGCTATACGATCGGGTACCCCCAGGCATTCCTTCCTTTCTGATTCGACATTTGACTTTGCTCATCTGCCCTAAAGCTACCTTCTCCACCTAGTCTTGTGATCCCACTCATTTCAACCTCCTAAGGAAACTTCCCTTAACATCGTTCGGTAACGTTCAAATTCTGTTCCACTAGATCAATCCATTAAATCACAACTATCCTACACCCTCACCTGACAATTCCAAATGATCAAGTTGTTTTCTACTTCCATTTTTTTCTTCAGGTTTTAAGTAATCTCCACACTCAACTTGGGGCTCAAATTTATAACCCCCAAATCAAGAGTCCCACGCTCCACTGACTGAGCCAGTCAGGAGCCTCTACTTCCATTTTTTGAATGAAATGTACACTCTCTGCCTCCAGCTTCATACTATCTTAACACCCTGTTGTAAAAACCTTTGCTATGTTTGAAACCATTGAGATCTTACTGGACTTCAGAGACACTGTACTCTCATTTTTCTTAGAACATTGTTTCTCCATCTCATTTGTTTTCTCCCTCCTCCTGTGGAATTCTGCCAAAATCTTCATTTTTCTCCCTCCTCCCAAGACAAAAATCCCAAGCTTAAATTGTGGTCCTATACCTTCAGCTATCTATATATCCCCTAAAATGCAAACAAAACTTCTCCCTTCCCAGAATGACATTCTTTTCCCATTTCTGTTAATACTGTTCTTGCAATTCCATGGTTTCCAATCTTATGAATTAATTTGGCATTTTTCTTTCTCCCATGCCTGACATCCATCAATCATTGTTTCTTCTACCACATCATCTAATTTGTTACAATGGGCTTCCTGGTGCCCCAGTTTCACCATATTCAGAGTTCTACAATACTGGTTTCATCATATTCCTCTGCCCAGGGACTTCAACGCCCCATTTGATTACACACATGCTCCTCTGATCAACACACTTGGCCTAAATCACCCTTTTTTTTTTTTTTTTTGAAAAAGATTTGATAGAGAGCAAGAGCACAAGCAGGCAGAGAGGCAAGCAGAGGGAGAGGGAGAAGCAGGCTCCCTGCTGAGCAGGAAGCCTGATGCAGGGCTCCAATCCAGGACCCTGGGACCATGACCTGAGCTGAAGGCAGACCCTTAACCGGCTGAGCCATCTAGGCACCCCCTGAATTACCCATTATATTTATTTATTTTTTAGATTATTTATTTATTTGACAGACAGAGATCACAAGTAGGCAGAGAAGCAGGCAGAGAGAGAGGAGGAAGAAGGCTCCCCGCAGAGCAGAGAGCCCAATGTGGGGCTCGATCCCAGGACCCTGGGATCATGACCTGAGCCGAAGGCAGAGGCTTTAACCCACTGAGCCACCCAGGCGCCCCGTGAATCACCCATTTAAAAAAAAGAATCCTCGGGATGCCTGAGTGGCTCAGTTCGTTAAGCGACTGCCTTCAGCTTAGGTCATGATCCCAGGGTACTGGAATCGAGTCCCGCATCGGGCTCACTGCCTGCCACTCTGCCTTCTTGTGCTCTCTGACAAATAAAATAAAATCTAAAAATACATAGGGCGCCTGGGTTGCTCAGTGGGTTAAAGCCTCTGCCTTCAGCTCAGGTCATGATCCCAGGGTCCTGGGATGGAGCCCCGCATTGGGCTCTCTGCTCGGCGGGGAGCCTGCCTCTCTGCCTACTTGTGATCTCTTGTCTGTCAAATAAACAAATAAAATATTTAAAAAAAAAAAAAAAGACTCTGCCTTCAGCTCAGGTCATGACCTCCGGTCCTGGGATGGAGCCCCGCATCGCCAGGACCCCCACATCGCATCGCATCGGGCTTTCTGCTCAGCAGGGAGCCCGGTTCCACGCCTCCTCTGCCTGCTGCTCTGCCTACTTGTGATCTGTCAAATAAATAAAATCGTTTTAAAAAATCTAAAAATACATAAATAAATAAATCCTTAATCCTTTCCAGCAAAATACCCCCAATCTGTTCAGGCTGAGCATCTCCACAGCTTAATGCCTTCTCTCATGCAGCTCCTTCACCTTATAGCCAAGTAGCTAATGTCACCCTATACTGATCTTTTCAGTGACAAATTCTTAGATCTTAACCAAAATTGCTTTTATGTGATTAAAAAGCTAATGTGCAGACATCTGACACACAAGAACTTATTGTCCCTTTCCAAGTTGCTGACTTGTTCCAAATGTTAAGAGGTCTGGAGCTCTGTAGTTTATCCAGTAATCATTAGAGGACTTCCGCTGACATTATCTCAACCTACACTTATCTCAGGAATGTGGTCATTGCACAAAAACATTTCTGGAACTCCTTCACGGCTAGTTTATGGGCCACATTTAAATGATTCATTACTTGTCAACTGTACTCAAAACACACACCATAATTCTATTATCATACCCAAAAAAAATCATTCCTTCAAAAAAAATTTTTTTTGAAGTGGAGGCATTTGCCAACTTTTTCTTCTATTTTTCAGATTTTTTAAAAAAGAATTATTTGAGAGAGAGAGTGTGAGAGAATGAGCATGAGAAGTGGGAGGGTCAGAGAGAGAAGCAGACTCCCTGCCAAGCAGGGAGCCTGATATGGGACTTGATCCTGGGACTCCAGGATCATGACCTGAGCCGAAGGCAGTTGCTTAACCAACTGAGCCACCCAGGCGTCCCTATTTTTCAGATTTTATTACAGATTACTTCTGGATTTCCCCAAAGTCCCATTCTTAGACTTCCTCCCATCCTCTCTTTTAGTGTTTGTGTT